ATGGAAATATCAGGGAAAATGGGATTTCGAAGCCTGCAGAGACTATAGTTGCCATCATGAGCGAGTAGAATACTATTCTTTCCACACGAACATCACAAATCGACTGTTTATCAGTTCAAATACTGAATGACCTGTTACTCTCGAAACTGACTGAATATTACATCAATAGAAGACGTATAGTACCAGGGCCTATAGAGTAGGCCCTGATAATACGTACCAGTTCTATTACAATTATTGCAACTGATTGTTCTGAGATAGAAATTAGGTCACCTTATCTCACGTTACCTCAAACTCACAAAATCACCATATATATACAATATATATTATAATCAGATGATTAATAAAATGAAGAGTTGAATGGAAAGATGATTCAAACATTCTAATATTCCATCCCACATTTCTATACCACACTACTATTATTATATTCACACGAGTGTGATATGAAGCCCTGACTTTGCGAGAATGATTAAATGAACAGTCGTGCAAAAAATAATCAGACTGATCGTAATACTAAACGTTGGTCATCGACCTTGATATTGAATAATGATTTCAGTTAAGTATATCAGTCAAAATATATAAGAGTACTTATTCCTAATACGAACATTTTTCCAATTTATTCAAATAGTATGTAGTAAAAATTATCGATAGATCTAACTAGAACTGTTTGACCAAAAATGTCGGTTATTCATGTATATAAGCTACTTATATAGATATACAGTGTGTATGTTGTACATGGGGTCAAGTTACCCTTTCTTACGGAGTTCTCAGAGAGGTTTTTCAAATCTCTATACTATACGGTCTATTTTTTTTTCAAATTCGGCTAAGCCATTTCCGCAAGAGAGCACTCAAAAGATTCAAAATGTATTGGAATTTTCCTCTAAATTATTGGTGATGGTAGGTATACTGTTTTATTGTATTACTTGTACAGTCAATTTACCTGAACTTCATGAGTTTTTCATACTGCGTATGTATGTACAATGTAATGGTATGTTTGTATAGTGTTTCATTTGAACAGAGGCTTAGACGGACAATCAGTATGAAAAACTCATTTTAAATGTAGGTTGATTAACTTTAAAAGAAGAACAATAACAAAATTCCCACCCTGACCAATTATTTAGACAAAAATCCCAATTATATAATTTCAAATCTTCCGACTTTTCTCTTGGATATGGCTTGACCGAATTTGAAAAAAAAATAGACCGTTGCATAGAGATTTGAAATACCTAACAAGGTGTAATTTGACCCCTTGTACAATTTCAAAATTTTGAAGGAATTGATCTGTATGGTAGGAAATTGACAGGTGGATGTAAAAAATAGATTTTCGAAAATAAGAATCTACCTGTTTTAAAAAATATATTATGGTCGTAGAGATACGGATTCAATTCCATCATATGGGTTTCCACACTATATAGTGTGAAATAATAGTATAGATACAAACTTCCAATGGAAGGTTTCAATGATTTCAATCAATAATAATGCATCTTCTTCTCGAATGAAGGCGAAAATAGGAATCCTAGTTGAATGTTGAATGTAATGTCAGATTTATGGAATCTTTGACCTATATAATATTGTAAGTGAAATATTATTTTTGTGTTGAACAATATCAACATTTGTACTAGTTTATTCTCAAGAAATAGTGGTCAAAATTGTATACCAGTTGATTGAATATTTCTTGTAGATTATTTTCGACTAGTTCAAGGTTGCAATAAATTATAAGATACCGTGGATCTGAAAACAGTCACATCATTAAATATTATAAATGGAATGATAATGTTGTATATAGTATAGATATACCTAGAAATACTACAGGACCTTGAGGAAATGTCAGGTGAGACGACTTTTTTGTCAGGAAATTTACCAACAGGAGACGCAAGAACAACCATAATTATCTACACAATGTAACGTCAAACAGTATGAGGCGACCTTTGGTCCAGATATGTATTATCTAATATACAGGGTGTCCCGCGACCATAATAGTATAAACTAAAAGTAAAGTAGTTGTTTTCTGTTGAATATTCAGAATGATATTATATGCATATCTTTATATGAAGGAGAATGCAAATTTTCTACTTCAGAAGATTTTGTTTTCAAATTCTTATCGTGTATGTGTTCAACAGATATAATTCAATATTGGACGTGGCATGAAGCCAGGAAAGTAGTTGTTTTCTGTTGAATAAACCGAGAAAGAATTAATATTTTCATCACATGGTGAATGCAAATTCCCAATGTATATCTTTATATATATATATATATATATCCATTTTTTGTGTTAATAATATATCGGGGAATATTCCTTTTCAATAAAGAAAAACACTGAGACTATTGAAGATTTTTGTGCTTTCCTATGAAATGCATGGGTTCGTTGAGAAGGTATATAAAAAACAATTTTTAAGCCTGTAACATCGATTGATTAACTTCGACTTTTCTAATAACCGAGATGGGCGTTATACTGAGAAACCTAACCAGCAATAACTTATAAGTAAAAAATGAATTGGAAGTGAAAAAAAAACTTTCAAATTGTCCAGCTCTAATGGTTTTCGCGTTAGTCGCTCTTGAAAAAATTGGTGTTTCACTTATACGATTTTTATCATTTTTAATCATGAAGTTTTCGAAGTGACACTGAAAAAAAACACAGTAATAGATGATGAAAATCACTAATAACACCAACAACAAACAGAATGTCAAAGTAAATGGTCGACCAAAGTTATTTGAAAATTTTAAAACAAAGTTTCCTCCTCGAACATTTTTATAAGGCATGGGCTAAATCTCCATATTTGTTGTCAAAAACAATAAATCATAATTCCTTTAGGTTTGTGAGGAAACGAATTGAATGTATTGACAAGTCATTTTCCATAGTAATTTTGTACGAGATCCAATTTATGGAAATATAAAAAGTACGTTTCAGAGTGCATAATGAACTAAACTGATTTTTCGATAATGAATGATATGGTGAAAATAATGTCAGTAAGAGGAATCGAGGAAAATACAAAACAAAAAACTACTGACACTCAGAAATCAGCCAATTTCCGGAATATAAAATAAATTATTTTTTCGTTTTTATTTGATTCATCTTGCTTAGCTCATTTTGTTCATCGATCTTTCTCCTGTTGCCTAGGTCATTTCTCCGAATGATCCTTCACTTGAGCTTTCCATCCGATTCAGAGTCGATCCTTTGTCTGACTTGACTTTATCGTGCATATCCTGTCATCTACGTTTGTGTTTCTCATAAATGGCTTGATAATTGATTTCAGTCATTGACATTCATTTACTCAGGCTGTCAAACTGAAAACCTTGAAAATCATTAATATAAAGGAAACAATCTTATTCTTATCAGTATTTTTCACGGCGAAAAGCACTTTCAGTTTTGGTGTGGTGGGGTAGTGATTCACACGAGACCAACGAGACGAGACTTTCATAAAAATTCGTTGAATTGATCAAATAGCAGCTAAACCATCTTCCAAGTTTTATGTGAATATATCATGTAGGTTCAAAATCATGTTGGTCATAGATCGGTCATATGGCAAACATCAATCTACCACTTTTAAAAGAAAAGAAACGAGCCCGACCGAGTGAAATCTCTGTATTTGCACAAGTATCAATGTCACGATCTGTTGTAATATTATACAACCGGCATTTGCTCACGTAACTTTTAGGAAGAATTTTTTCAACGCACAGCATTCTTTATCATGAATAGACTAGGTACAGGGTGTTCTCGCAGAATTTGTTGCAGACACTTATACAGCTATATATATATACATCTGGCTGATCAATAACTCCATTTATCAATCAATTAATACCGAAAATAAATCTAAAGAATTCGTGATGAATACTAACTTGACATTATATATTTCCTTGAGAGCTTCATCAATTGAAACCAATAAAACTGTTTGGGAAACCCATTTAGCAGATTGAGGTATAGGCAGTGGCGTAATGTCATAACTTGGACCCTCCATGTCACAAGTGAAAAATACCAACAGGCCATCAGGCAAACTGATGGAGAGTTTCAAAATGGAAATATAATAGATACACATCGAAATATACTGCGGGCTCCCAGGTTTTCAACTCCCCTTATGAAGCAGTGAATCCGTTTTTCGTATAAAATTTTCAGGAAATACTGCGAGAGGTTTTCTTTCCTATGAATTAATTCGCATTGCACTACCGCTCAATACTTAATGAGTATTATACCTATATCTATTAATTGTTATTATTCCTTATATTCTAATCATGATATAATTATTATCAACTTCCTTGAATTTCTTCCATTCGAAGTTTTCTTGATGTCATAGACATGGATAATACCTTTGTTGACATATTAAACTAATGGCATGACCGTTGAGCATTAACATTAATCAATTCTCAAGGCTATGATTGATGAATAGTTTCATGAAACTGCGATGGGTATTATTGAAATAAGATGTACGTTGTGAGAATCGATCAAATACTATTATCATTCAATGTTGCATAGATGCTGTATAATATAAGAAATTAAAAAAGTCATGCAAGAGGATCATTATTCAAAATTCAGATATAGAATATTGGTATAGTAGATCAATAACCTTCTGAATATAATATGTGAGTCATATCATTTAATGTTTTGTTATTTCCATTTCTTCTTGAATCAGAGCAAATGTATTCTACAATCAACTCGAATTTATCGATTTATACAATTCTTGGAAAATAATAGACAATATTCAATATTTTGTATAATCAGATTCATTATAAACGCTTTAGTAGTATGGTCATTGAAGAAATCGATTTTTGCCCTCCTCTCTGAGACCCGAGAGTTCAGACATCTCTTGGAGCGCACGAAAGGAAATTCTTATATGACTAAGAACATCGTGCGTACCTCAATGACCTAGGGTAGATGAATATATCAACAAACATTCACCAGATCAGAGCTTCAGCAAGAGGATTAAGTATATGTTCTTGAATACACATATTTTATACTTTTAGTATATCTATATTGATAACATTATACAGAATTACAAATAACAATTTCAAAGATGATGAAATACTATTATCCTATAATATATGGAAAGATACAAAAAAGGTGTCATTCAGTTATGGTAACTAACAGTAAAATTAACACTATTTATTGATTTATCTCAAATTTCAACTCACATGGAACTTTTTTGCTCATCCAAGAATTATTCACAAGAAATGCATTGAACGTACGGCAGAAAATAAATTCGCAGTTCCCATCAAGATGATAACGTTATGGTGAGTATTACACTCGGTATATTGCAACTCGGCCCGACATCGCAACTAGACATAAGACCTACACCGAGTTCATATCCTTACCACGAAATAAAATTGTCAACGTAGGGGCATGTTTACTATTAGAAATTTACCAATTCAGTTCATTAACGTCAATCAAATTTAAGTCAAGGTTGAACTATATCAGTCTAATGTTAATACATCACTTAAATCTCCATGTATGGACAGACGTTGAAAAGGACACCTATCAAAAATCACTTTCTAGAGGTCTAGGGTTTATTTCTTGCTCAGTATCCGTGTCATCAACATCAATACTTGCACGGGACATCCTCTTAGTTTCAGAACTTTCTGACTTCCTCCTCCTTCGTTTCCGCCTCACCTTATTCTTTTTGTGGATTTCAGGGTTACTCCCATGAAGACTGCCTCTGGAAGCCAGGCTATGCATACTACCCGATATACTGGGATCAGGCTTCGGCAGCAGTAGCGCATCAGTATACGAAGGTGGGCCTTGACTTTCCCTAGGGTCTGGGGCATTTCGGCTGGCTTCCTCTCTAAACTCCCTCTGAAGTCTCTGCATTCTTTGTCGAGCCTCCCTAGCTTCCCTTTCCTCATTTCTTGTACGTTCTTCCTGCTCACGCCATCGCTTTTCTTTGATATCATTCAGTTTCCGTAAAGTCAACACGATCACTAGTAAGAGAGTCATGGATATTATGAGCCCCATGGAGTACCACCATAGCTGTCCTTTCTTAGATGGATTCCACTCTTTCTGACAAGCAGAGTACCAGTTTTCGCCCTCAACCTTTTGGGGCGAGTCGCAAATAAGACCATCTACTACTTCCTCTGAAAAAATTAGCCACTCGAACATATCCTTGAGCTTAGGGCAATCGCAAACCCATTGATTGTCCTCTAGCTTTAGAGTTATCAGGGTTTCTGGGAAAAAACTTGGATGAATTTGGGATATGCGATTACTAGATAGATCGAGCCATAACAAATAATTCATTTGGGTGAACGTCTTGTTGTTGATGCTTCTGATTCTACAACCTTTGAGATCCAGGGACCGAAGATGATTTCCATCCCAACCGTCTGGGAGTGAAGATATGAAGTTTTTTCGCAAGTATAAATGTTCTAGCTTAGGAAGACTGGAAATACTGAACTTCTGAACACTGTATATTTCACATTTACTTGCATCTAATGTTTTCAGCGACATACTTCGAAAACCATCCAGAGAATTGATGTAATTCTGAGAAATGTCCAATCGTGAAAGTACTATAGTAGGTAACAATGTTTTTTCACTTATGGTGGCTAATTTATTTATTGAGAGATCCAGGACTGACAACATATCTAAATTCTTGAATGCGTTCTCATCAATCGTTTCTAAAACATTGTAAGACAGATTCAAATATGTCAAGCTGGAATAGTTACAGAAAATATTATCTGGGACATTTCTCAAGAAATTTCCACGTAGGTTAAGAGATTTCAGAGCTTTCAAGTTACCAGTTGGAACACTCTCTAAGCTACTATCGGAAAGATCCAGGAAGAGTAAATTATCTGAATGTATTTCTAGTTTTCTGAGATGAATATTATTCCTCATTATTAGGGTTTCTAATGCCTTTAAGTTCACGAACACATCGTCTGATATGTGAGTTAATAAACAATAGCTCAAGTCCATATATTTCAGAGTATCAGATCCAAACGTTCCATTAAGGATGCTGACAGGATTATAAGCTGCATGTAATTCCAGAACGTTCTCTAAATTTTTGAATAATGCCTTTGGTATGAGAGCCATAGAGCAGTTGTTGACTCTAAGTATTTCTAAAGATTGTATGGAAAACTGGTTGAACAGATTAGGCAGGTTTCTAAGTGGGTTGTTGGAGAGATCCAGGTACACAAGTTTTCCCAATTTTGTAAAAGCTTGGGAATGCACATCTTTCCAGTCATGAAATAGGTTGGAAGATAGGTCCAATTTCTCTAGATTATCCAAACCTTCAAAATCTGAGTGCCCAAGTGTTGCTATCTTGTTGGTAGATAGGTTGAGACATCTCAAACTGGTGAACGTTCGTATATCATGGGAAATATTTCCAAAGTTGTTGATGGACAGATCCAGATTGGTTACCTGTAAAATAATTTCGGTAAATGTTGTATCGGTTTCCAGACTCATCAATAATATTTGATGGTAGCCAACAATGAGTGATAAAAAAATAATAGGTATTGAAAAAGTGAACGTCCGTTTAAATTAACGACGAGAAAAAAGAATAATGAGCAGATATTGTTCTCATCCTGTTTCACCTGGTATTTATGCATGCGTCAACGAATATAACCCATTATGAAAGGAAGTGATGGAAATGATTTACAATGCATCAAACAGCAGTGATTCACCTAATAACTTTTATCACTACATACGTTACATTATCTCAGTCTATACACCCAAAACCAATAATGCATTGTTTTTGTGTGGCATGAATTTGAATGATTTTGGAATACATATATTCATTTCTACTTCAAGAAAGTTGCTTGCTGTTTATTGGATATTCCTCTATGATCTTTCGGAAGGTACATTCAAAACAAGATAATATGCATTTCTTGTTATTGTTGATGTCGTCGGCATGGTCATTAAAATTTCAATTGCTTCTAAGAAAACTCCTTTATTATCAATGCAAGCTTATGCTCATTACTTTTACAAATTACAGTTTGTAGAATTAATATCGAAGATGTTATACGAGCAATAAAAATATATCAATTGAGTATGCAAATGGTGCCTTCAACATCAATTGAGAAACACGATGAATCTCACACATTAACCTCAAGATAAACTTTACATATTTATGTTAAAAACAGGAGCAAATTCATTGTCGAAACTTCCAAGATAGGGGGAATTCTATTTTTTTTTCAAACAAGGTTCAACTATCGATTGACTTTCAAAAAAAAATATATAACCATTAAACTCATGAACAATAGATGTATAAGATGAGATACTCACATTGATATCGATTCCAGCTGGTAGTTCGGTTAAGTTGTTATTTTGACAATTTGTAATGGAATTCTTGCACCAACAAATATTTGGACACCTGATTACTCCATCAGTATATAAAGTCTCCAAAACAGGTATTATACCGAGAATACACCACCAACTTATCATTGCTGCTAATTAATTGCACACTCATCGAAGATACACCATATATGTACACCACAGAAGAATGAAACCTATATACTCGAAGAAATGTCATATGTTAGAGGACCTAGATTTTTAATTTTCATAGCGAGTAACCTATACTGGAATCTCACGATGATGTTCGCTATCGTTACTAAGTCAACAAGATTAAATTGAGATAACAGGTAAACTGATAAGAGAGAGGCGTTTTACTCACTCTCATAATATTGTTATATTAGAAGTAATTGATGATTTTTTCCGATTCAAACATGACTGAAATATCCGTATACAAAGTTTGAAGCCTTACCGCATAGGTGTAGTGCCACAGTTGTGGAACAAATCATAAAATTCTTATATAAACTGATATGCTCGTATTTCAAGGGATAAAACCGACCTCATTGGTCATAAGCTACTAACTTCAATATGAAATATTGGATAGAGCCAAATAATGAAAATTGAATTGTTGAATTATCCGCTCCATCGAATAACTTCCGTTTTAAGGAAAAGGTTCGAGTCTTAGCCGGTTGGTCAATATGGGATTTGAAGAATTTAAATTTGCTGATACTGAAATACTGTAAATGGCTTGGACGGACATCCGATGTATCTCCTGCATGGAGAATATATATCTGAATAATATAATTGATCTTTGGATCATATCCAGAAGAATTTCACTATAGGTATCCGAACAGTTCACATTATCAATAAATCTAGAATATATTATTGTTGGTATGTGATTACATTCAGGCATATCTAGAATAGAGAATGAAATTAATCATAAGGTAGTGACAATGGAAAGATTACTATTCTAATCAGTGTAGATCATTATTTTCACTTGTGTCTCGTGCCCTGGTTGGATACAATTAATTTTTTAAATGACCATATCAAGTTCCAATCTAGTAAAAATGTCACATTCAAAGAAATTGCAATTGGTCCTCTACTGAGTAGTGTTGAAAATCATGATCATTTCCCATAATCTGGAAATGAAAAACAGCATTAGCATGAAGGCGTAGAAGGGCTAACCACTCTATTTTTATGGATTTGCCATTTCGAAGTGACAATTGTGAGTTGAAAGTGACAATTGTCAGTTCAAAGTGACATTTGGCATTTGTCACTTCGAACTGGCAATTGCCCCAATTTTATTTTTATGGAATTGCCACCTCAGTGAAGTAACAATTGCCACTTCAAAGTGACAATTGTCAGTTCAAAGTGGCAAAATAAAGTTGTTGGTCCTTCTATGCCTTCGTACATTAGCATTGCATTAGTCATGCCCCATTTGAAATTACTAATCGAACTAATGCGTCGATATATTTTGATATTGTCAAATGTTACAGTCCATATATCACAATCCATGGCCGAATCTCCTGGATTTGAAATCGTGGTCCTTTGGTAGTTCCTCGTATATGGATTTCCTAGGATGATATTCAAGAAAGACGAACTCCCAAATGTCCAGAAGGGGCTTGAGGAGTTCATAGGACGTCTCATTCGCGTATACACATACGTATTGCCGCGACAATGCTAATATCCTTGGGATGTTCTGGTAATGTTCGGAGAACATCGTGGGTACCTAGGGGGGATAGGAAGAGGAGGTAGGTGCTGGATTTTTTAAAACTTTTGGAGATTAAAAGTCTTTGGAAATACTTCCTCAGACAATTAATTCCAGAGCATTGCCGTTCTATAGAGAAACGAGTTTTGATAAAGTGCTGTTCGACATATTTCGAGGTTGACAACGAAAGGATGTACTGACTGGGCTCGTCGAGTTCGTCTGACTGGTATTGCTAGGAGAAAAGTTGAAATTTTCCTTGACATACATCAATAAAAAAATTTGATAAAAATATCTAAAAAAGGCGTCTAGATGATCTTGAACTCATTTATTAAAACTACTCAGGAAAATATAATATCATATAGAAATGTATAATTTCATGGTTTCATAGAAGGACAATCAATGGATCACACCAGAATAAATAACAATAAGCATAGAACACAGAGGGTAAGCTTTTTGGGATGATTACAACAAAATAAATAATCATATTTGAATCCAACAATGTTCGACCATTCTACCTGAATCAATGTTATTTTCATTCAATCGCGTTTACTCCTAAATCCAGGAAACCAAACGGGGCTTCCATCAACCATAGCGTTGATTGATATATTACGCCTACGCTAGGTAAGCGTAATCCGTAATCACTGCTGGTTGCCTGCCTCACTTGTCGTTCACAAGAAAACCCTGCCAAATGTATGCAGAAAGAGGAGTTGGTATGAGTGAGCTTAGGGCCCCGACCCTTGCAGGGGCCCCGAGGGGCCCTGGCATTGCATGACTATTTTCCCATATCATTCGTTTGTATAGATGAAATAATGATTGAAATGAATTTCTCTTTTGAGCAATGGGTATTTATTTTATATACCTAGAAGCAGCGGCAACATTCCAAAAATGTTGAAAACCATAAGCAGGGTCCTGCCGATCTCATAGCGACAGTGGGCCGGTTAAGGGAAAGAAAGTTGCTTAAATCCGACAAATGTTCAATAACTTCCTCGATATGGCATTTTGCAAACTGAAAAAAAAACATGTGCCGTTTCGATTTAGATAAAATATCAACAGTAAAAACAAAATGATTTTCTGTTTTTTCATTCCAATTTTTCAGGAATGGCAATTTTTTCTCATCTGCAAAACGTATACCGTTGAGGAAATAGTAATTTAATGTTCCTATGAAATCGGCGGGACCCTATTTACTGAAGGAATGATGGACGTGTTTTTCAATGCAAAAATACTATATACATTGAACTTGTTTTCAACACTGCCATCAGTGTCCAATTGCGGAGGAGAGCGTTTATTTTCAAAATTATCAATAATCAAATCAAATTGTGTACCTTATTCCGAAGAGAACATAACAAACTTTGGGAATGCTTTCCATCGGAAGGGATTTGATGAGCAGTTCGATTTATGATGGGGCAATGAAAGTATTCGCAGATTCGTGAATCAGAAAATTGGAAGTGATATCGTAGTATGTTTCTCCTAGTAATTTCGTTACGGTTTAGTTCTTTTATTTTGAACGTATCTGATCCTAGTCAGTGTTATAGTTACGTTCATTTTATTTCATGTGGCTCTGATTTTTTTTATTTGTTATTACATCCTAAACCATATCAATGAATGCACTTTTTTTTGTTCCTTATATCCTATATATTTTCATCATGCATTTTTCGCTTCTATTTGGTCAGAAAATGTTAGATGGGAAAATTGGTGAGAAGAAATAACAGGAGGAGAAAAAATGATGGGTAGGGGCCACAAGGGCCCCAAGAATTATCAAGCTTAGGGCCCCAGAAATCGTAGATCAGCCACTAATAATATTCGATATATTTTCAGTTTGATCATTTTTTCCTAGTTCAGGACACTACATCCTTTGCTTGTGCTTACTGTTCACAAGAACTAGGGACATTTGGATGCCATAATTGGAAATCAAATACTGGAAGAGCATGAATGTTCAAGATTCGATCAAAATTATAATTTGACAAATGACTGGCATTCCGTAAATAAACCACAGCCGTAGTCACCAGTAGTTAAGTACTGTCAAAATAATTGGTAGCGGCCCTGAAAGCATCGGTAACCTTCTTGGTAACATGTAAGTGAAGGAGAGCAACCACAACGCCACGTTAAAATATTCCAGCGGAGTGTGCATTGTAGAGGATCAGTCGTTCTTGCTATGTTGTCATTTACATGCCCAATGTATAACGATTGGGCAAACAATCTGTATACTCACTAACAAGCAGTGTTGCCATTTCAGAATTTCAATTTGTACTAGAAGTCATTTCGAGATTGTACTAAATTCAAGTATATTGTATCAAGGATTGTACTAAATTGATAAAATAACACTTCAATATTTACGATTCACAAATTTGATGGAAAACTTCATATTCATTCATGAAAATTTAAAATGATAAAATTTAGCACATTAAGACGCCTGTGAAAAACGTATGTCATGAAACAATTATAAATAATGAAAGTCGAAAATAAGAGATGAAAATAAGGAACAGATCAGATTACAGATTGGCATCAAATACTATCATACTATCAATATGATAAAATAGATGACTCAAACTTCAAAGTCAAATCAATTCTCCGTTGAATTGAAAATTATGGACTTTTTATCAATGAGGGCTTCATTAGGATTCTAATTATAACATATCTTCTTCGAATAATTGGTTTGTATACAACAATAGCTTGGGCTATCCGGTTCTTGTTTTTGTACTAGATTAGTGTTAATTGTATTGGCGTACTAGATGTGTATGAAATGTACTAGAAAAGTACACTAGGACTAAAAACGGCAACTCAGCTAACAAGTAACGAAAATGAACCTTATCTCACAATCGACGGCGATACCGACGCTTACATCGAACTAAAGTTAGGCGAGAGCGATCGTTTTTCGCGCCCGTCTGTCGTCTCAGCTGTTCGCCAGGGACACGCCAAACTTTAAGCCGGGCTTACTACTTACGGCCCTAGCTTCACACTTGATCATATTTATGCGATGTCCGGATTATCGGAAGCTGACTACCTCTTACACTTCCAAGACGCCTTATATCGATTTATGGGACACATAGTACTTAAACGTTTCTATAAATCCTCATCAGACACTAATTAGTTTTATTGGACGAACGGCACTTGCTTCGGAGACGTGATGCTGCCGAAATCGTCCTTCGGCCAAGCAGGATAAAGATACAGCACTGATAAACTTTGATGGCTAATTATTAGAACAATAAACATGTTTTTCGTCAACCTCTACAAAAAGTCACATTTTACTTCTAGTCCGCTGCAGACTCGCCAGTTCTAGTAAATTTTCAGTAGATCTCCTGAATCGCATATTGAACTAGTGATCTACTGAAACATATTTTAACACTTATTTATTCTTCTAATCTTCAGTTGACACACATGTTTCGCTAACACAGTAGCTTCATCAGCTGAAATACTGGTACAATGAAAATAATTTTTCTGAGTCAGATTCGACAGTCTGCTCAGGCTTTTCTAAGGATTTTTGTTGCTGTGGTGATGCATGCAGAGAGCTTGATTTTTTATATCTCGGAGCGCATGAAAGAGAA